ATAAGAGGGGTAGGTTGGTCATAAATAATAAACTGCAAATGCCATGATGAATTTCCATCAAAAGAGGTAAAATTTTCAAGTCTGTGGGGCCCACAAATTTGGAACCTTAAAATACATGAGACCCACATATTTGTTGCCTCTCAATACATGAAGCAAACAATGGTTGGACAAAGTTCAAGATAGCTCCAAATTCATCAAGCAAACAACCCCACCTATATGGTTATGAGTCTGTGACTCCATACTAAATTTTGGAAATAACAAAAACTTTTTCAATATCGAAGTCTCAAAATAGAAATTTTTTGGTTAGTAACAGTAAAGCTTTTGTATTTAGATCGAGTTATCCTAGCCACAAAATTTTGTTTTCATATTTCAGTCGATGAGCCGAGTTCATAGGCATTAATTAGGGTTAAAAATTAAAATAAAATCATTATACATATTCTTAGATATTAATAGATATGTCTACAGTACTTTCAAGAATTCAAATGCATGTAAAATGTCACAATGTTTCTACGAGTTATTACATTTTATAAAAAAAAGTAAATTAAGTTAATAAAAATAAATGCAACATTTTGGTTCGTTCCTATTCCTTTTCCCATACAACATTGAAAATAAAACACAACATTGATAATAAAGAAACTAGATCAAGCCCCACAAAAACAAATAAAGCTCTCTTCTTATTTGCTTAAATTTTGAGTTTCTAGAATTTGTCTTCTCTACTTTTTTTGTATATAGATATAGGAAAGGAAATGGTAAGGCATATTGATTTTTTTCCCTCTTTGTAGGAGAGTAAGAGGCGGGAGTTACATGATGCAATGATTTAGTGGGAAAGAATTGAACAACTCTAACATATTTTTGCCTATTGACGAAGAAAAGTCCAACCTATCATTTCTCTCTCTTCCCTTTTGATCTGATCCGCAGTGGGAAATTGATATTTCTTACTCGGAGATATCTGACTGCTAGCGGTTGACTGGCCGAGTTATAGTATTCTTCCCATTCTTTTCTTAATATCTTCCAGATTATGGCGGCTGGATAGTAAATTTCCCTTTTCGATTCAATGGTTGTATTTCTTCTTCGTTATTCAGTTAGTTGTTTTATGGTTCTCTGTTATCCTGTATACTTTGATGTAAACATGTAACATATAATTCAAAGGGTTCGTTGCTTGGACTTGGAGGCTTGGAGCATCTCTTCCCTTTTGATCTGATCCGCAGTGGGCAATTGATATTTCTTCCTCGGAGATATATGACTGATAGCGGTTGACTGGCCGAGTTATAGTCTTCTTCCCATTCTTTTCTTAATATCTTCCAGATTACGACGGCTGGATAGTCAATTTCCCGTTTCGATTCAATGGTTGTATTTCTTCTTTGTTATTCAGGTAGTTGTTTTATGGTTCTCTGTTATCGTGTATACTTTGATGTAAACATGTAACATATAATTCAAAGGGTTCGTTGCTTGGACTTGGAGCATCTCTCCTTTGGTTAATAATTGATCGTTTTCCTTGGAGGCCTATTGCAACTCGAACCCTTGGATGTAAAGATGGAAACCATAGTTGTGAGGGTTGTTCATTATGTTTATTATGTTCATGAGTGACATGCTACTAGCTAGCTATATGACGATGATCTGATCAAGTAAATAGTATGTAACAGGGGGTTATAAGTAGGAGGGAACATATTTGGGATTTTATAAAGGGCGCGAAGAAGAAATAAAATGGTAGCAAATGTCGATGTTTTCCCCCATTTCTAGACGTTTGTAATGACATTGGTTTGTTTCCTTAGCATGAATTTTGCCTAATTAAATTCCTAACTAAAGCTTGATTTTGGCCTGATTGTTTCTAATAACTACTATTTGGATTGATGCATCAATTCGATTCACAATGGCGACTCTGCAAGATATAATGACTTGAGTTATATTGAAGTATACAACTTTTATATTCATTTATGTTATTATTAGGTAGAAAAACATGATCCTTTTGGCATGGGTATGTAGCTCTCTACAAAATATAAATTTTGATTATATGCAGTTTAGTTTACTGAAAACATAGTTTTAATAAATTAGTGACAAACAATAGTTTTATTTGAGGTTGGTTTTGCTAGAATATTTTCAAGGTAAATTAAACGAATAAGTGGAAGATTGACAATGTGGATGCCAATGTGGTTTCTCATTCTTCCAAAATTACACGAGTAACTGATACTACACGATAATTGTGGGATCTAGATCGCGATATTCTCTATTATCATATACCAACGTACGAGAAGGGTGAGAAAATGAAAGCTCTTCACTTTTTTTTATTAATTGAAATATATTTGCAAGTTTTAACTTCTTCTTTTGTGTCCTTCAAAATTTTAACTTCTTTGTCACTTTGTGTGCTAAAAAATTAATAATCTCTTAGTTTATATCTTAAATGGTGGATTCGATACATAATTATAAATCAATAAAGAAAATACTACAGAGAGTTCATTTAATAAAATTAAAATTTCATAAATAAATGAAAGATATAAAAATGTGAAACAATATATGAAATTTGGTAAGTGAGATTAACAATTCAATGTATAATAGTTTAACATAATGAATCATAAATAAAATTATAATACTAGGACGAAAAATATAATAACCAATCAAAATTTGCCGCCCAACAGGCGGGTATAAAGTTAGTAAAGTGAAGGAACGAACAGTGTCCGATACACTTTTCCTTGTCGTTCTCTTCCCTGTCTGTTCCCATTCATTTCCCTTGAACCCTAAAATTTCACTTCCTCTGTATTGATTACAATGTTCACTTTTGTACCTTCTTCTTCCACTCCTATATATAGTGGGGAATAATATACTGATGTTGAAGAATGTACCAAATGAGTTTTATTAAGTTTCCTATCTTATTATGCTGTTCTTGGCAAGTGGGTGACATGCATGGTAACTGCCAAATTTGCATGATAAGCACGTTTAAGGTTTCTATGTTTAGTTTACCATGTGTATCTTACATGGAACGTTTTATGAGGAGACAATAAAACTCTTTGTTCTAGGTTCAGAGAATGGAGAGATGTATCTTTCTATTTATGGTAAAAAATAATGGACATATATTTTCCTAATATTTATTTTTAAATATACATTTTCCTAATCTGTAATCAATATATATGGCTGGAGAATTGATTATCCAAAATTATGTCATTAAAAAAGAAAAGGATAGGGTATAAAATCATATCCTACAAAACTCCATCATCCATCTCACTATCATGATATCATCTAATGGCTCATAATAATTCTCAACAAAAAAGAGGGATGGTTTGGTAATAAATGAACCATCAATCAACTTAGTAAACGTTGCTTAAAAATTCAAGATACGTTTAATCAAGATGAGTTTTCCCACTGGAAAATGGCAACATCATCAGGAGGCCGATGTTTCTGAAAGGAAATGTCAAACGGAGTTGGAGTAGAGTTGTTCATGTTGGGAGCTATAGTCATAAATGTAAAATGTGGCAAACTTTCTGAAAGTATCGGAATGTTACAAAGACGGTAAATTAGTTTTCTTTGTCAACATCAGGAGATTGGGTTATCTATAAATGTGGCAAATGGATATTCAGGAATTGGTGAGTTGGATTGTTGGACTGGTGGATTAATGGAATAAATCAAATGGATTGGTGGATTGATTTATGAATCAAAATAACATTAAAGTTTTGGACTATTATGTAAATTTTGAGAAATTTAGATACTAAAATATCACAAAGAAAATTTTTAGGTAGCAAAACGTAATTTCCAAATGACATTTTTGTCTAAAAATAATTTTTAGGTGCCAAAATATAAAATATTTAGGTAGTAAACTGTAATTTATCAACAATCCATGAATTCACTAATCCAATCTGATTTGTATCAAATGGATGAATTTAAATGAATTGAATTAACTAAATATTTTAATAAATGGATTATATTGATTTCATATTTGGATCCGAATCTCCCTCTGAGTTTTAATCCTTTCTTGCCCTCTATCTCTTCGCTTCTTACACATTTGTGGGTCGTTTGGAGAATAGGATTTAGGTCGTGGATTCACTCAATCCGTAGATCATTTTGAAGGAAAAAAATATTTTTTGTTGTCTTTTGTATCGTGAATTTTAGTTTTAGAAATTTCAAATCCTTGAAATTTACGGATATCGAATCTCTCATAATTAGAGAGATTCTATATCTAAATTCATGAGATTTTTATTCTCATACTTTATCTCTTCGTTTTATTTATTTATCACATTAAATATATTTAACACGGTTCTCAATATTTCTCCAATCACTCTAATTTTTTTATTAACGATAAACATATTATTTAATGTAAAATGAGATTTTTTATTTCTATTCAATGTTAAAAATCGCAATTACCAAACAATAAACATTTTAAAATTTGTTTTCAACAATCCGAAAAGTTAGAATCTTTAAAATGTTGATAATCTGTTGATTTAGACTCATATTCTCCAAACGATCCCTTGGTGTACCCTAGGAAGTAATATATTCTTCACTTCATAAAAACAAAGCAGTCTATATGTAGTAAAAAATCGAGATATTTTATCGAAGTGATATATATGTTGTTTGTCTATGCCATCTAATTAGAGGGTTTTTTTATAGTACCTTTTTCTATATTTTAAAATATTGGTGTTTTAAAGTAAAATCTTAACATTAACAATATAAGTTTAGTTTGTACTATAAGAATTTGTACATTTATATTATGGTAATAGTTTGGTTTGTAAAGGTACAAATTTAGTTGGTTATTATAAAGGAATTTATATAAACAATAGAAGTACAAACTGAATTTTTACCATACCTTTAAAAGTACAAATTTAGTTTGTAGTTTGTACTATAATATAAAAAATCTAAAACACTCATACTTTAAAGCATTGAAAAATTCCTATTTTTATACTACCTCCAACTAAAGGTTTGAAAATTGCTCGACCTAAAAAAAGTTTGAAAAATGGTTCTGATGTCGCGATTAGGAGATTGATCCAATGGTAATGACACTGACCTTGAATTTTAAAGTTGCAGGTTCGAATGTATTAAATAATACCCGACTAAAAACCAAACATATATCACCCTTATAAAAAAATCATCATCATACAACACGTACCTAAGAAGAAAGGCTGTTATTATTTCTTAATTATGGGTATTACATATATATAGCCGTTTCCTATTGGAAACATGTATTGTATAGAGCCAGCTTAACAACAATTAACACATTACCATACCTCGTATTATTCCTGGTACCACGACTATGACATATTACTTTTTCAGTCCTTCCTATTCTTCCATATTTCAATTCAAGGGCAGAAGATGACCTTATAATTAGTCCCAGACGGACAAGTAAAAGTGCTGGTCGGGTCATCTTTCGGGTAACTATAAGCATCGGGGCACCTGTCCTTGAAAAACCTCGAAAGAGGCGTCGGCTTACAATTCGCACCAGAATTATTGCAACAAAACTCCTCCCTCTTCAGCTGTGGGCACGCGCCGTTGCAACCGCCGGGCACCTTCAGCTCGTTAGGGCACTGGCTCAAGATATTCCCCGGCGCGCACCTTATCACGCGCCGGCAGTTCGCAGACGCCGAGCTGAACTCCATCGGCACGTTGTACCCTTCGATCGTGGAGATGTCGATGAAGTCAAGGTTCATGTACTGTTTCAGCGCGTACTCCGCCAGCGTGTTGGGGGCCGCGCCGTAGCCCTTGCAGTTGAGGACCCCACCACAGTCGCCCGTCTGGCACCTGCCTCTGCCCGCACCATCGAACTGGCAGTTGGTGCGGGCCCATATTCGAGCCGCGGCGGTGCCAGGTGGGGCGTCGATGGTCCATGTCTGGCCCGAGTTGAGCTGGCGGCCTCCTCCCACGGGGACGGAGGCTGCCCAGACAGTGTACGGGCACCTGTTCGTTATGTCGAAGCGTGCTGCTTCGACATTGAAAATGATCGTGAGGGTCACGAGTAGGAGGGCGATGGGTTTGAGGGACATTGTTAGGGAGGTAGCCATTGATGGGGATTGATGAATGAATTTGTTGGTTGGTTTGTGGAGGTTTATATAGAAGTTTGGAGTAGTGAGAAATGTGGAATTTTTCGGTCATGTATGCGGAAATTTGGGGAAGCCAGAGACATGAAGAGCTCTGTAGTCTCCACATCAATACATCGTACGTCATCAAAGTTGTTTTTCCTTGTAAGACGACTAACGGTGATTTACGGCATTGTATGGAAGGAAAGTTGCAGGGGACACGTTGTAGGGTTGAATGATGTCTAGATGGCATCGAATTATCGGAATTATGAAAAAAAAATGTCCACAGAACAAAGTAATAATGTAAACCAAAGAAAATGCTAATGAAATGAAGTGCTGTGTTAACCAAAGAAGAAACGTACAATCTGCATATTAATTACAATCTCATTTCTCATTTCGGCAAATTTGTTGTCGATATCAGTCATAATAACTGGCGAACTTGTTATAAAGTAACAAAAGATGCTTGAGCAACACCCACATACCCAATCCATCCAATTCGTGGAACTAAGGTTCTTGCAATCTCGCTCGTTGCAAGTCGAATTCATAGGTTGGATCGAGTAAAAAAAATGTTTGTTTCAATAAATGTGTGGAGTGTTAATGGAAGATTTCGAAACCGTGAGTTTGTATGGGTGGCCAACTCAACCAAAGTGATATAAATGGAGTATAGTTAGATTTATTTTTTGTCCTCGGATTCCTTGAATTTTTATTTTAATAATTTTTAATTCGTTAACCACGTTGAAGCAAAGGTTAAAGTTTAATAACCATGACGATTAATGTCGTGATCGAGTGGTGGTGTCGTTGATTTTCAGTCCAGTGCCCCATATTTGAAACTCAGAGAGCACATTATAGGTTTATGTAAAAATTCGGTAAAATGAAAAAAAAAATGGTTTGGTAACCATGTAGACGAATTAACCCAATGTTAGGCGCTGGGCAACTTGACTTAAAGTCCTCAGTACTACTCATATGCTTGACTGGAGATGGAGGCCCAAGGGAATGAATGAAAGGTACCACTGAGCAAAAAGTTCTTCGGGAGATTAGATGTTCTTGTCTCCATTGCTTTAATTAGTTTGGCAAGTCTTTTAAGGAACTTGCAAATGGATGAAAAAATTAAAGGATAGCGCACAACATTGTTGAAAAGCCATATTCCATGGAAGATCACACTGGAGTAAACGCTTGTTTCGTACCATTATAATTAATATTCTGCTATTTAAAAATTAAAAGCATAAACACTATAGTTGAAGGGTTATATTCAAAAGGCGTGTCGGTGGATGATATTGTCAATGTTTGGTTCGAAGTTTAGAAGTATTTCATTGTTTTAGAAGTCGAAGTCAGACCAAATAAGTCTAAAATTCGACTTTTAAAAAAACTGAAAAGTGTTTTTCATAACATGAATTGAAGTTTTTACGAGGTTGTGAAAAAACAAGATCATAAGAATTATTTTTAAATTTTTCATAAAAAATACTTTTTGTTCATTTATATCATTTTAAAATAAAATAAAAAATAAATATAATGTTATCCATTTTAACTACTTAAAAATTATATAAATTATGTTTATTCATTTTATATGACTTATTATATTAAAAAAATACTTTTAGTAGTTATTCACTCAAATACTCAACTATTTTTTAGCACTTTTCTAAAAATTCTAGCTAGAAATTGCTTTTTCAAAAATTATCATTAGCTTGTGGCTATGTTTATTTAGGCCTTTGCTATTATGCATGTTTAACTTCGTGCGGTACAAAACTGTTAATCGTTGAGATATAATAGTTACCGTTATAGTAATGGATTGAATAATAGATAATTTGTTGAATAATAACTCGATTTTGGAATGTTCAAAGCAAACTATTCTTAATTGAAAGGGTAAAGTTGAATGCATACCTTAGATTTTACAGAATACATTGAGTCCATCTATTTGACACTTTTAAACTAAAAAAGTGTTTATGTTTGACCGTTTGAGTTTATCAAATCTGACTATATTGCCACCTACGTTTTCCTAGCCGTTTACTATTATCTGCCCAAATATTGAAGGCATTGAAAAGTCAATCTACAATTGTTGGTAAATACATTCAAAGCAAATACTCATTCAACATCCAATAAGTTCAATAGTCTCCTTAAAATCTACTTCAAATTCTTATACACCCGAGACTACTTGAACTTATAATATTTTCAATTCTAATCCTTCCTCTGTCATAAAACTACAATAAACTTGTCATAAATTATTGGTGCTTTAAAGATAGAAGTTGAAATTAAACTTATATCATAACATTAAAGATACACATTCCGTTTGAATTATAAAGAGACGCTATCCTGAACGCGTAATGGGCTAGGCAACAAACATAACATTAAAGATACACATTATGTTTGAATTATAAAGAGACGCTATCCTGAACACTTAATGGGCTAGGCAACAAACAGGGCTTAGTGGCCCGGCTGGTTTTTGGTCAAAGAGTCAAACCATTTGATGAAAAGTAGATAACATGTATGAAGCAAGACCCAATTATATATAACCATATATAACAAACGTATGTTATATAACGAGTAAATATATGATGATACCTATCCAAATTAAGACCCTTACCCTATTGACCCCAGCAAGCTAGGTAAAGAGCAACCAGCAATTGCCACATAGAATCCACCCAACAGTACTAAACAAACTTATAATTTCTACTCTTTGGTGGCAATAAATGTTCCCGGATGTGGTTATGCAATTAGAAAATGGCTATTACCAGAAAATAAAAATGTTCGAGTCATTTGTTATGTTTCATAATTATATCAATTAGTTTATAACAATTTCTTCATTGATAGTAATAATTCTTAACAAGAATACTCTGCAATCTACATGCATATAAGTTTGCTAACCTATTTCTGACCGAAAGATAGATATCACTACCTATTTCGATCTTACACCAAACCAACGTGATCTCTACACCGTCTACATAGCCAAAGTACTAGGCATAGCAGGCGCAATGATCGGTGGTGTGATGGCAAATGTCTGGGGCCGAAAATATGTATCTGTCGTTGGCGGTGCGATTTACATCGTAGGAGTTTTCATGGAGGTTTTCACCAGCAACTTCATCACATCTTTGATCGGGTGCGGTCTCACGGGTGCTGGAATAGGTGTAGGCCTCGTCATCGGACCGGTATACATCGCTGAAATCTCGCCGTTGAAGCGACGTGGATCTTTAGGCTCTATCCCTCAGGTATGTACGAATGTGATATTCTTTTTGTTTTTACCATATACAAACTCGAAAATACTCTCAATTATGTAGGTCATAGGGTTAATATGGACACACGTCAACTTCTTCGTCACTAAAAAACCTGCCTTTTACATATAGAAAAATAACATAATTATTAAACTTTAGTACTACTGTATATATTATACTCTCATGCTAGCTAGCTACTAGCTAGCCAGTACTATAAAGTTAAAAGACTCAAAACTATGCCAACTATCCCCTGAAGTCCTTTGTTATTTGTAATGAAGTAAAATGACTACGAGTTGGTTTAAACGGTCTTTAAGTTTTTATGAAGACTTATATGCATGCATGGTTAGAATCATTAGATGAGTCATGAGTGAACCACCGTGGTACAACTTAAAATCATGTAGCAGATATTTTGATCTTTCGATAATGATGTGACTAATATGTTTTTCTGATTGCTTGCATGCAGGTGGTTATGATTTTGGGATGGATATCCGTTTTCGCCTTCTGAGTGTGTAGCTTCTTTGATACCCTCACATCGTCCTGTGGGTTGGAAAGTGAAGTCGCTTATCACGGTGATTCCCTGCATTGTCTACACAATTGCCATGGCATGGTTATCGGATAGTCCATGTTGGACGGTAATTGAAACCGGAAGGCTCGAGGATGCGTCCGAATCACTAGTGACCAAGTCTGAGGCTACGTACGATGTGTTGAGTATAATAGTTGATGAACTTTGATTGAGACACGAGATCATTTGAAAAATGAAATGTGTGAAATTTAGAGAAATCTTTGTAAAGAATGTACGTTAAACATCACATTTCATGCTAAGAAAAATCTAAATTCAAAGATTTTAACATTAATGTTTTACTTCACATATATAACAAAAAAATGTTTATAGTTACAATAGTGTAAACCAAGCTATTAAGTCAAAAGAAGAATATTTAATAAATAGTATTTCTATTTTCAAAGGCGTATATTTTCATGTTTATGTTTTCAAAAGATTCAGATAACAAATAGTAACTAAATTTTTTGTTTTTTTTTATGAATCCTTATTTCATTACAAAATAGGAAAATGATACAGAGTTAGAACCATGGTACAGAAGCCTAACCTAACGTAAAGCTAAGCCCATCCAAAACACAGTAAAATGAATGCCCACCCACAAAACAACAAAAAAAACACAAAAGAAAAACTCCAAAACCCCACCCCAACATCCACGGTATTCTAACCCAGAAAAAAAAACCCAAATACACCAACCACCACAACCCGGCCCAAAAAAAACCCCAGCCCAAAGAAACCAACTCCATCATACCACAAGCAACCGCCAAAAATATATGAAAAAAAGTATACCAACCAACGGGCCGAGAATCAATTAGTCTACACATAATATAATACACCGAAGGGAAAAACGGGAGCCCCATTTCAAATTTCCTGCAACGAGAGTGAAAGTAGGAAGGACATTTTGGTCTTCACAATTACTTTTTTTTTATTCATTAAAAAGGTATGTACTGGGATTCGAACCATGACCATTTTAAAGAAAGGCAAGGATCATAACCAATCACACTAAGTACATTTGTTGTATCCTTTTAAATTAAAAACATATAATAGCAGGGTGGAAAAAACTCTTCCCCCATTTCAAATTCCCTGTTCCATGAGCGTTTGTAGGAAGGGTAAAATAGGGAGTGTCAATTTTTTCTCTTTCCTCTATGGAACGGGCCAACTTACCGTACACATGCGGATTTAAACGAGTCAAGGAGTGTCAATTTTTTTCTTTATACCCTTTTATTTATCCGTGGTGATAAAATATATA